AAATTCACCCCACTCATGTGTACATTAAATAATAATATGGCCTGCAGAAAGGTTTTAAAATTAAATGTTCTCTCATAAAAACAAAGTCGAGCATGAACTTCTCATCACACCAGCACCTAGTTTCAAGTCTAAATTAATTGCTTACATTTAAAAAATTTGGCATACAAAACCATAAAAAGCCTGTTTAGTGAAACACTAAACAGGTTTAAGGAATGTAGAACATATTTAAGAGAGCATTAATTTAACGTTAGTTCTATAACGTTACATACATGTCCTCATATATATTAGCCTATTTGTAATGTCACAAGTAATAATCTCAGGGTTTACTGGGTTTAACATGATTATTTTTGTATTGGTGGTGGAATACTAAAAAAATCATGTGTTGTCATGTGTTTCAAAATCAAGTCATGTGTTTATCTTTCTTCTTCTCACCGATTCCTGGTTAGATGACAGTTACTTGAGTCGTCCCCTGTTGTTTTAAGGAATAGTACAACGGCGAGCCTTTCAAAAACGCAGTTTGGAGCGGTGCGCGCGCTGTCTGTGGAGACTCGCGCTGCCTTGTTTACTTTCGCCTGCCTCCGCAGCGCGTGTCTCCACAGACAGCGCGCGCACCGCTCCAAACGGTTGAGGCATTTATACTTGACCCGCTCGCAACCGGAGTCGTTGTCATGGCGGCGCGCATTGTTTAGAGCAGTGGATAAAGGCTTCCGTCTCCTCGCGGTTTCAGATACACTGAAATACGTCCGCACCGCAGACATGGTGCTTCAGACAAGCACGTGCAGGTCGCGGTTTCTGTTTGCGTCATGACAACATTTCGGCCGTATTATTTCGGTGATAAAAGTCTTTCGGCCGAAAACCGAAAATGCACTTTTGGGCCATTTTCGGCCGAAAATTTTCGGTGGCCGAATATTCGGTGCATCCCTACGTTTACTTCATCAATGCATTGGCACAGGGAGTCAATGGGGCTGTAGTCGTTAGGCGATAGGGCTAAGTAGAGCTGTGTGTCATCTGCGTAGCTGTGGTAAGCGATTTGGTTCTTTTTCTTTATTTGGCTCATTGGGAGCATATACAGGTTGAATAGGAGTGGCGCAAGAATCGAGCCCTGAGGGACTCCGCAAGTCATGGATGTCCACTCAGACTTATGATCTCCCATACTCACAAAATAACCTCTCCCTTCTAAGTATGACCTGAACCATTTTAGGACTATCCCAGAAAGCCCCACCCAGTTTTCCAGCCTGTCAAGAAGTATGTTGTGATCAACAGTGTCAAATGCAGCACTGATGTCGAGTAGTACCAACACGGATAATTTGCCTGTATCAGTATTTAAGCGAATATCGTTTATTATCTTTATGAGCGCTGTCTCCGTGCTGTGATGCGATCGGAAACCAGATTGAAAATTGTCAAAATATCCATTTGAGCTTAAAAATTTGTTCAGCTGATTGAAGACAGCCTTTTCAATGATCTTGCCTATGAAAGGAAGATTTGAGATCGGTCTATAATTGCTCAAGATGGTCTTATCCAGATTGTTCTTTTTCAGGAGGGGCTTGACAACTGCAGTTTTCAGGGAGTTCGGAAAGCTCCCAGAGCGAAGTGAGGCATTTACCACTTCTAGGAGATCTGCTTCTAAACAGTTTAACACACTTTTGAAAAAATATGTGGGAAGTGTGTCAAGGGCGCAGGTGGATGTTTTAAGGTGCTGTACGGTTTCTACCAAAATTGTGCCATCAATTTCTTCGAAATCAGACATAGTAACTACTTTCTCAGGTTGTGGTCTGGTCTGCCTGACCCCAGAGCAACTCAAATGATGTGCTGATCACCTTTCTGATGTTATTGATTTTCTCAGAGAAGAAAGAAGCAAACTCACTGCAGTTCCTTTCTGAGAGCATTTCTATGGGAGTCTGGCTTGGGGGGTTTGTCAGTCTCTCTACAGTAGCAAAAAGAGTGCGTGTGTTGTTTATATTGCTGTTTATAATATTTGAGAAGAAAGTCCGTCTAGCTTTGCCTAGTTCCCTATTGAAAGCGTGGATGCTGTCTTTGTAGATGTTATAATGGACTAAAAGTTTTGTCTTCCGCCACATGCGTTCTGCTCTTCTGCATTGTCTTTTCATATTTTGCACAGCTGTTGAGTTTCTCCAAGGTGCTTTTTGTCTGCCACTATTCTTCCTGACTTTCACAGGAGCAATATCATCAATTACACTCTTAACTTTTGAGTTAAAAGAATCAAGGAGAAAATCAACAGAGTCGGCAGATATGCTTGGTTTTAAAGATATAGCCTTCATAAATAGCACACCAGTGTTTTCATTTAAGCATCTCTTCTTGACAGACACAGCTCTAGCTTCAATGGCAGGAGAGATTAATATATCAAAGAAAATACAGAAATGGTCAGACAGTGCTACATCCTTAATAACAATCGATGAGATGTTTAAACCCGTACTGATAAGTAAATCTAGAATGTGTCCACGATTGTGTGTGGGACCGTGTACATGCTGTGTCAGATCAAAAGTTTTTAAAACAGTTTTGATTTCTTTTACCATATTGTTTTCTGCATTATCTATGTGAATGTTAAAATCTCCAGCAATGGCAAAACAGTCAAACTCAGAGGCAATTGTTGATAACAGTTCTGTAAAGTCCTCAGCAAAGGCTGGAGAGTATTTTGGAGGCCTGTAAACAATGATAAGTAAAATACGTGGAGCACCTTTTAACACAATACCCAGATATTCGAAAGAGGGGTAATTCCCAAATGATATTTGCTTACATTGATAAACATCTTTAAAAAGAACAGCTAAGCCCCCGCCTCTCTTACCCGTTCTGCAGACACTCAAATAAGTAAAATTTGGAGGGGATGTTTCGTTTAGGACCGTTGCACTACAGCTGTCTTCTAGCCAAGTTTCAGTTAGAAACATGAAGTCCAGGTTGTGTGTGGTTATTAAGTCATTGACTAGAAGTGATTTATTTTTAATGGAGCGGATGTTTAAAAGTGCTAACTTTATAGTCCCCAACTTTATAGTTACTTTTTGTCCCCACAGCAGTCTTAGTTTGGCGTGTAATAGGCACCAGATTAGATGGGTTTGCTGTACGGCTGTTGAAGGCCTTAGATTTTCTATCATGTAAATGAACAGCAATAGAGAAAGATTCAGGCACACTGGGTTCCCGCTTGTTCTGTAAACATTTGATAAAGTTATTGTTTTCATAGCAAGGACCCAAAATATTTTACTTAGAGCTAGGGCTGTCGCGATAACCGCAATATTGCAGTACCACACTTCTGACAAGTCAACCGCAGAGGATTGCACGTAACCGCAGCAACCGCGATATTCACGTTTTTTTTATAAGGCTTCTTCTTGTTTTGAACTTCATGCATGTGTATTGAATGTTAAACAAGTTCATAATGATAACAACAAGACTGTTTATATTGGTGATGTGTAGCCTACAGAGGCTTCACACAGACAGTGAATGAGAGAGATCTGCAGAGCGCGTGCGATTTCCTGCGTCTGTCTTTGAAGTCGTGAAAAGGTTGCCGTGTCAAAGGAAAGCGAAATATTTGTCATATCATCATTTTAAGCTTCACGTCACGGGTATTTTCCACAAATGGGCGTCAGCAGCAGCGCTGATCAGCATCCCACAGCGCGAGGAAGCCGCAGAAAATAATATCACAGTCACGCATTGAATCAATGCCATATTGGTCTCTAATAAGTGAAGCATAAGCTTCCGCGTTACCCATGCGACGCATTGCTGATCAGCTGAGCCTTGAAAAGTGGAACTCAAAGTTAAAAATAATTAACATCTTGTTTCATTACATCTCTTTTAACGAATCAGCTTCTTTGAACGTGTTCGTTGAATGAACGGTTCAAAGTCCGTTGTCATAACAATATGCGCGCTGAGTGAAAGCCTTTCAATCATGCTTTCAATGCAGACGCTGTTTAGTTTCGGTTATTGGTTAAATGACCTCGTTTTTGTCCACATCGTAAACTTTATTTATATAGCAACAAATACTTATAAATTAAATAAATAAATGCCGGTAATACCGCATATCGCGCTATTGAGCCACTCAACATTACCGCAAGGGAAATTCCATAACCGCGACAGCCCTACTTAGAGCTGGTATCAGTTGTTTTTGGTTCACCTCGAGCCGATGGGGGAGGGTGTGAACCACACTGCCTCCAAGAACTTTACTGCCTCTCAGAACCACACTGCCTCTGAGAACCACATTGCCTCCAAGAACTATACTGCCTCTAAGAACCACACTGCCTCTGAGAACCACACTGCCTCCAAGAACTATACTGCCTCTCAGAACCACACTGCCTCTGAGAATGACCTCCCTCTCGGAACCACACTGCCTCTGGGAACGACACTGCCTCTCGGAACCACACTGCCTCTGGGAACCATACTGCCTCCAAGAACTATACTGTCTCTCAGAACTAGGGCTGTGCAATTAATCGCAATTGCAAAACAATCGCGATTTGAGCACATGCGATTTCTAAACCGCATAAGGCTGCGATTTTGTTAATTCATTTCTATTTACGTTCTGATGATGTTAACCAATCAGATGTTAACCAATCAGAGCCCACTCAGTGCACCGCTCAAATTACAACTGAACTGAGCGGGAGAACAGAATAGGTGAGCGGGAGAAAAGAATGTAAAATATGGATGTTGGTCAGAATAAAAATGATTTGGTGCCAAAGAGAAATTCAACATCAATCGTTTGGGAGTATTTTGGATTCAGGAGAGAGGATGTGACGCAGAGCAAGGTAATTTGCAAGACTTGTGAAACGATTATTGCGACGAAACGGGGCAATACTACAAACCTGTTTCAACACTTAAAACAGCGCCATAAAAAGCTCCATGATCAATGCATGTCGACAAAGTCCAGCGAAACTGACAAAAGCACACCTCAAAGCCAGCCAACTGAACAAGTATCCATCGTTCAAGTATTTGCAAGCGTCACGCCTTATGAGAAAGGATCAAAACGGCACAAAGAAATCACAGACACAATCACAAATCATATATGCAAAGACATGGTGCCTGCGTACATCGTCAGTAAAGACGGCTTCCGAAGACTAATTCAAACACTGGACAAAAGATACCAGCTGTCGTCTCGCACTCATTTCACACGGGTTGCTATTCCCGAAATGTATGAGAAATGTAAGGCGGGCGTTGAATACGAGCTTAAAAAGGTGAAATTCTACGCCACGACCACAGATATGTGGTCCAGCAGAACGATGGAGCCGTATATGAGTTTAACGGTCCATTATATCGATGAAAACTATGAAATAAAAAGTCGATGCTTGCAAACAGCATATTTTCCAGAAAATCACACTGGAGAAAATATCGCTCAAGGTTTAAAAGAAGCTTTAGCATCATGGGGACTTTGTGAAGATCAACAAGTGTCTATCACCACAGACAATGGATCCAATATAGTGAAGGCTGTCACTTTGAACAACTGGACACGACTGCAGTGCTTCGGGCACAGGCTACATTTGGCAATTGGTAAATTAGTGTTTATTGTACATAATATATGTATACTTTACATATTAAGAATATTAGGACACTTTGTAGGGCGTATTTTTTATTAAGAAACAAATTGTGCAATGATGTTTAATATAAAAATGTATTATAATGTTATGTACTTTAGTATTTTTTACTTGTCAGTAGTTGGGAAAACTTTACAAAAAGGTGATATTTGTTAACAGTTGTAATTAAATACATTAGCAAACAATGAACAATTTAGTTTTTCAGCATTTATTAATTATTGTTAATGGTATTAGTTCGTGTCAATGGTATGTAACAACTAGTACAGCATTTATTAAGGTTAGTTCATGTTCATTTTAGCATACTAATACATGAAATACAACTTCACTAGTTATTCATGTTAGTTCATGGTGCATTAACTAACAGTGACAACGTTTGATTTTAATAATGTATAAGTAAATCCTAAAATTAACATGAATTAACATTAATAAATGCTGTATTAATATTGTTCATTGTTAGTTCATTTTAGCTAATAAAGGTGCAGTGTGTGATTTTTAGCGGCATCTATGAGATTCGCGAATTGCAAAAAGAAAGGCCTATCCCTCCCATCTCAAAATCTAAAGAGAAGCTACGGTGGCCGACGTAACCAGCAGCACATCTCCCCACAAAGCAAACTCTGTAGTTCTGTGTGTTCGCTGTCAGCTACGGTACAAACGTGACGTCACAATATGTCGACCTTCATTTAAGGGGTGGCCCGCGCTTATGTAGATATAAATGACTCATTCTAAGGTAATAAAAACATAACGGTTCATTGAGTAAGGTCTTTATACACCACTGAAAACATAGTTATGGATCTTATATTGCACTTCTGTCAATAGATTCTCAGAAATAATACACATTGCACCTTTAACTAATTGTTGACAAATAGCACCTTATTGTAAAGTATTACCCAATAGTTATATTTAAATGCATGCAATACTTACACACTCTAAAAAATGCTGGGTTATTTAATCAACCCAACCGCTGGGTTATGAAATGTTTGACCCATTATGGGTTATTTATATGGATTTTGACTCAACACATGAGTTGGAAAAAATAACCCATCTACCCAACATACACCGTTGACCCAGCACGTGGGTTGTTTGTGCTTCGAACGTCATCACATCATCACAAGAAGAGTCCACCATACCGGATCCACCACACACCGAGCGATCTTCAAAGAGAACTTCACTTTTCATCGAGCGAGGGAAATAAACTAAGGTAGAGTACTCTACATGTCATTTCTAATATATAAGACATATATTTTAACAACTAAGTTATAAGCTGGGTTGGTCGGAAGAGGGTGAGGCAAAGATGACACGTATTGATGCAATGGCCGTGAAGTGTTTATTTATAGAAATTGCGGTAAACGGTCTAACTTAGTGTCCGGAATACAGTGAGTCTACTTTAACGTTACCTTTCTAAAGTAATATCTTTATATTGTAGAGGCTAGTTGGTTGGTTTGTCTGGCTTGTTTGGCTAGCGTTAGCCATTATCATTGAAGCACTGGCTATTTTGAGCGCGCTAATTTTTCCCTGGAGCATTTAATGTGAACACAGTGTTAGACTGATTAAAGTATGTATAAACAGTGAGATAACCTGATATGCCAGACTAAATGCATGTATGTGCATTTATTTAAGTAATATGGTAACCCGCGATAGATAAGAAAACATTTCTTATATAAAATGGCGGCCTGGCTAGCAGGCTAACTTACATTATTTTAAGTTAACTGGATATAAATGAGCGTGCTTTTTGCCCTCAAATCTTTTAATGTGAAATGCGAAGGTATAACACAGTGTAAGACTTATTAAAGTATGTAAAAACAGTGAGATAACCTGATATGCCAGACTAAATGCATGCATGTGCATTTATTTAAGTAATATGGTGACCCGCGATAGATAACACAGTGTTAGACTTATTAAAGTATGTAAAAACATTGAAGTAACATAAAATGTCTGAATGTAAAATACATGTAATTTGAATAGGGAGAGAGGGTCTCTCTATTTTGGCTGTTATCTTCACATTGGATTACATTCTGCTGCTAGTCTGCATTGCATTTGCATGGTGACATCTGAATAGTTAATACAATAGTAATTGTATATTTCCTTAACCTCATTTTGTGTTTGTTTCAGATCAATGGTCAGCTTTGTCATTGACACAACAGAGTGGCAGCTGACAGACCTTGTTGAAAGATTTCAAGGTAAGAAATTAAGTCTGCATTGCTACTCAAGCCCTTTTCAGACATTAATTCTTATGAAATATAATTTTCTCTTTTTTTTTTTTCAATAGCTTCCATGTAATGTGTCAAAGTGACTCCAATAGATGAATAGGGCACATGTCTTTTGTAGACTTTCAGTGATTTATTCTATTTTGTAATAACAAATGATGGAATATGCATGTTTATCTTCCATTTAATTACCTATATATTTTAGTTTTGTACTCCTCAGTTGTAAAAACAGATTTCTTTGTGTTTTGTGTTTTTTTTTTTGTCTTTTAGAGGAGGGGACTGATGAGGAGAGTTTTCTTCTTTTAGAAGAGGCTACCATCAACAGTTGATCCCAAGAGCTGGCCCTGGGCTGAAGTTCTTCAAAAAATTAGAGGACTTGTAAGATCAACATTAGAGGCACACACAGTTATTATTTCTAAATATTAAAAGGAATAGTTTACTTTGAAATTAATTTTTGATATGTTTTAGCTTAACTCAAGGGCATGTAGATGTAGGTGTCTTTGTTTCCACAGTATTTTCAATTTTGTTTTGTTTTTTCGGTTAAACCGTTGTTGTCTATCAGTCATACACTGGAGGCTAAGGGGGTCCTCCCTCGGTTCACCTCAAAGAGCATGCACAGAGAAGTCAAAATTAAACATGATTTAATGACTCGTAAATGTAAGTACACATCGATGGCCTAAGACAATAAACGAGCGGTTTGTGTGAAAAAACGAACAGGATTTATATAGTTTTTTACCTCGTGTAACTCAGCCATTGGCAACTGATCTGACGGCAGAGGCGTTTCAGTCTGTGTATGCGCCGGAAGTGATCACTTGCGTCTGTACGTCACTCATTGTTTACACAGAGTTTTGGAAGTTTTACCTTTCACTGTGAAGATCTAAACATATTTATACAGGAAATCGCAATGGAAGAAGATTTCGATATATCTAAATGTTTAGTGAAAGGTTAAACTCCCGAAATCTCTCTGTAAACAATGAGTGACGTATACGCGCAAGCGATCACTTCTGGCGCATGCACAGACTGAAGCGCCCCTGCCGTCAGATCAGTTGCCAATGGCTGAGTTACACGAGGTAAAAACGATATAAATACTGTTCGTTTTCTCACACAAACCGCTCGTTTCGTGCCTTAGGCCTTCACTGTGTACTTACATTTACGAGTCATTCAATCATGTTTAATTTGGACTTCTCTGTGCATGCTCTTTGACATTAACCGGGGGAGGACCCCCTAAACCTCCATTATATGACTGATTGACAACAATGGTTTGACCGAAAGATATCAAAATTGAAAATACTGTGGAAACAAAGACACCTACATCTTGGATGCCCTTGAGGTAAGATAAAACATTTCAAAAATTAAATTCAAAGTGAACTATCCCTTTAATAGTTTCTTTGGGAAGATACCAGAATACTTGCTTGCAAGTAGAGCTAATGGCTCCCGTTGACTGTTGGCCTGTTAAATGTTCAGCCAGTTCATAATTGAATGTTTTCCTACTTCAGTGATATTAACTGCAGTTCCACTAATATTGTTGATATTAAAGTAATAAAATAATTTTTCAAAGATTCCATTGTTGTTTTGTTTTTGTATTGTTTAAGTGTTTATTGCATAATCTATGCATACATCTAGCATGTATTCTGTTCTAGGTTTGTAGTGTAACAGTTTTATAGCTATGAGTAGTCTATTGCTTTTATTTTCTTTAATTGTACTGTAATGTGCTAGAATTAGTCTGGCATATGGGTTAATTTGACCCAGCATTTGGGTACACTATATAACAAATATGTAGTTGAATCAACCCAGAATTTTAATTAATTTGACCCAGCATTTGGGTACGCTATATAACAAATTTGTAGTTAAATCAACCCAGAATTTTATTTAATTTGACCCAGCATTTGAGTAGAAATGAACAACTCATCTGTTGGGTTAAAAATGACCGACCCATCTTGCTGGGTCAAATTAACTACTGCTGGGCTGGTGCAATATTGATCCAGCAGTTGGGTTATACAACAAACCAAGTTGGGTTATTTTTAACCCATCATTTTTTAGAGTGCAATATTACACATTTTCATCATGTTTTGCAATTATTTCTTTTTAGAAAATGCCATCAAGGATGAACACATTTCCAGAGCCAACGGCTTATGCAAAAAGATTGTGGGACATTTTTCCCACAGTTGGAAAAAAAAGATGATGTTAGCCGAAGCCCAGGAAGAACTTCAGCTTCCCCAACATGCCCTCATTACATCATGCCCGACAAGATGGGGCTCAACGCAACAAATGATAGACAGGGTTTTGGAGCAACAGAAGGCATTGTCTCAGGTCCTTTCAGCTGACCGTAAAACAAGACACCTAGTACCACAATGGCAAGACACAGATGTTCTAGAATCTGTGAGTAAGGCACTGGGTCCACTTCAGGAGTTCACGGATGCCCTTTCCAGTGAAAACTACAGTACATTGGTGTACCCTACGTGAAACCAGTTCCTCATCTGTTGAACTCCCAAGATACTTGCAGTGAAGGATGAAGATACTGACCTGACAAAGACTATAAAATCAAAAATTCCTAACTACATCAACAAACATTATGAGGATGAAACTACCCAAGAGCTTCTGGACATAGCAACATTTTTGGATCCAAGATTCAAAACCAACTACACTGATGAGGATAAACTTCCAAACATTAAGGCCCGGATCATCTCTGTTATGGATACGAGTTCCCACAAGGTGAGTTAATTTATGTAAACTGGATAAAACTGTCATCTCTTAAGATAAACACTCTTTCTATTACTTTTTATTATTTACCTGTAATATTATTTCTGCTCTGTATGTCAAAGGATACATCTGAACCTGGGAGTAGCACAAGCAGAGAGAATCCTGACCGATCTACCTCCACCAGGCAAAAAAGCAAGGAAGTCCTTGGGAAGCTTCTTTAAAACGACATCAGCCATGCCAGCAGCTCTGCAACTTGAAGAAGCCATTGCCTGTTAGTTCTTATTTATTGTTATGACAGAAGTTTAGGTTAGTTAATCTTAATTGTCTGTTGTCTGACACGATCTATGACAATTTTGTTTGTTAAAGGGTTAGTTCACCCAACAAATGAAAATTCTGTCAGTATTTACTCACCCTCATGTTGTTCCAAACCTCTATGTGTTTATTTGTTCTGCTATACACAAACGAAGATATTTGGAAGAATGTTTTAATCAAACACATCTCTTTCCCCATTGACTACCATAGTAAATACATACTATGGTATAGACTATCAAAATACATACTATGATAATCAATGGGGAATGAGATCTGTTTGATTAAACCATTCGTCCAAATATCTTACTTTGTGTTCAGCAGAACAAGTAAACACAGAGGTTTGGAACAACATGAGGGTGAGTAAACACTGACAGAATTTTCATTTTTGGGTGAATTAAGCAGTTAATACTACTGTACACAGTATGTTTTTTCATTGTGAAATGTGTGCACTGAAAAATATTTTATTTATTTAACTTTATTTTTATGACTGGAATTTAGGTTAGTTAACATTAATTTGTTTTGTTGTCTGTTTTAAATATTACAGTTTTGTTTATCAAACTGTTAATACTAATGTTATTTCATTGTGAAATGTTTTGTTATGCACTTCTTGTGCACTGAATACATTTAGAATGTAGCATGTTTGAAAAAGCAAAAACAATTGCCAAAATCGCAAATAAAATCGCAATTGCAATATTCATAAAAAAATTGCAATGTGATTATTTTGTTCATATTGCACAACCCTACTCAGAACCACGCTGTTCCACTTCCACTGCCTCTCAGACTGCTACTGCATTGTTCAATGTAACTGCATTGGTGACTGTTACTGCATCATACACTGTCACTGCATTAGAGATTGTCACTGAACCGAAGACTGTCTCTGCATTAGAGACTGTCACTGAACCGAAGACTGTCACTGCATTAGAGACTGTCACTGCATTGAAGACTGTCACTGAATTGAAGACTTTCACTGCATTGAAGACTGTCACTGCATTGGAGACTGTCACTGAACTGGAAATTGTCATTGCATTGAAGACTGTCACTGAACCGAAGACTGTCACTGCATTAGAGACTGTCACTGCATTGGAGACTGTCACTGAACCGAAGACTGTCACTGAACCGAAGACTGTCACTGCATGACTGTCACTGCATTAATAAAAAAAAAAATAATCATTCACATGTAAAGCAACACTGTCTTATTTTACTTATTCATTAAACACAAGATGTGTAACGTGTCACAATAAATCGAAAAATGTGAAATAAAAAAAAACGCAAATTTGAGGTAATAGTTCACACAAAGTATGACCAAAGACCAAACCACGAGAGCCAAACAAATATGTTTTCTACAGTTTACATTTTAGAGCCTCAAGATGTAGATGTTTTAGTTCAAATTGCATGTAAAGACAAAAAAAATATTTGTTTACACTACATAATAAACAAGAGATGTACCAGAAATGTTAATAATCCTTGATTATTAGATACATCACCAACATCCAGTGAACAATTGTAATTCAAATGCTCTGGACAAATGCGTATAGTAATTAGTTACTGTAAACTAATATTTCAAACAAGAACAACTGATGAGCTGTGTAGACGAAAATATTGTGCATTCATATTCTGTAGTTTAACAGTTTTCATCAATGTTAAAACTAAGCCTACGCCACTGACATTCATTTAGCAGATGCCAAAGCAAATGTATGAACATTTAAGTTTACATTTATCAATTATGAGTGTTCCCTGGGAATCAATGGTTAATGACTAGCACTATGCTTTAATAACTAATCCGACTCCAGTAAATTAAAAATAAAATAATTTAGTTTTTTATTTGATTGTATAGTTTTATATAGTTTATATAGTGTAATATAGTTTCAACATATTACAAAACAATCATTTGTTCTGATCCTGTCTGTTGAACATGACAATTAGAGATTATAAAATATGGTTGTCAATAGAAAATACAGAACAAACACTCTTGTTGTATGTTCAATAGGGTTCTTGACTCAATTTTAAAGTGATAAAGTATGTTGGTTATGAGCTGTTTCATTCACAAAATCCCATTGAAATAAAAACTGAATTAATAAAATGATCACATGATGGGAAACCATATAGAACTTTTTTTTCTAAATGTGTAGCAAGCTAGACTATAAAAAAGATTTTTTTATTTATTTATTTACTTATTTTTTTAATGTGAACTGCCTTCTGTTTCTTGTTAATTTGGAAATTCCATATAACACAGAGACTAACAAATCCACAAAATCTCCAAATGTTAAGGTCAAGGAGAATACTGATCAAACCGATGCTAATCTCCACTTGACTTTGGCGGAAAGTAAAGCAAGGCGCAGTTAAAGTAATCAGTTGTTCGTGTTGTTTTCCTCTCCACCTCGGCTCACACAAATGAAATCTGAAGTCGGAGTGCCATTGTGTTTCTCCTGAAAATGAGACAAGTAAATGTTGCGAGTAAATGTTTTGAGCTGTCTGCACTTCTTTATCACAATCACAAATTTTTCTCACAATTAGGAGTTTACATCTCGCAATTTCGAGTTATCAGGCCAATTCTAAGGGAAAAAAACTTTTTTTCCTCTTAGAATAGTTTATATCTGACAATTCTGACATTACAACACGCAAATTTGACTTTACATCATGCATTTCTGACTTTATAACACGCAATTGCGACTTTATATCAATCAATTTTGGCTTTATATCTCGCAATTCTGACTTAAAACACGCAATTGCGATTTCATATCTCACAATTCTGAGAAATAAAGTCTGAATTGTGAGATAAAAAGTCACAATTACCTTTTTTATTTTTCATTCTGCGGCGGAAACAAGCTTCCATACCTTTCGTACTTGATGAAAAAATGACAAAACCTTTACCTGTTTGTAATGCCAGAATAAGTTGAATAGAAGTAAAATTACTAATGCAAATGTTGTTTAGTGTAAATTCTGTAAGATCACTGTTTTTCTCTTGAAATGCAGATCATTTCAAATTGGAGGACTGTGACACTAATACGGATTAAAAACTATGGGAATGCAGTGCACATACAGAAACCAACAGATGATGTACTGTACTAGGGCCCTGTTTACACGTAGAAGCATTTGCATCACCCCAATCAAAGTTGATGACTCTAAATACAGGTGTAAACGGGTCTAAATGTTTCCGGCTTGTCCACATGTGACCACTTCCAGAGGTAGTCAAAAACACATTCAACCGGATTGATTTCGAATGTCATTCAGCGTACGTTTGAATCGGAATATATAAATAGTACGAAGAGACTCCGGCAGAATAAACACAAATGAGAATGGACCAGTACGTCTCGGTATGGTTATTTGATACATTTATGTACTGAGTTGAGTTGTTGTAATCGCGTCCCATTTGCAATTATGGATGTGGAACAACACACACACACACACAAACACTAATGCTGGCGCAATTTTTTGAAACTACATACACATACTGTGATAAAGTTCGCTACGTACAAGCGAAATTACATTTATGCGAGGGACGGGGACCTGTGGCATCAAGTTTACTCGTCATACAGGTGCTTCTGTGGCAAATGTGAGGAGATGGCTAACTTACAGAACAAGAATATATATGCAGTTTTTAATACAATATCTTTAAAAATATATATATTTATAAACGTGTGGTTACACACTATACAAACAAGGTTTAAATTATATAGCCATGCAGTCCTATTGGAATCCAGAGGAAGCTCATGCAGTGACTGTCTTCCACAACCAGGCACTGCACAATATTCTGTATTGCTCGGTAGCTCGATCCAGTTTGTCATCATGAGGTAGGCATGTATGTTAGGCTACTTAGCTATGCGTGTAATGCACGAATCGGTGGGCGGGGCTAAACCGGCTGTGTTAAAGTAGGTGTTGATCTTCTTCTGCGGGGGTGGTGTTTTAACCCCTTCGACGTCATAGTTCCCCCACTTTTAAAAACGAGTCGTTTTCAGAGGCTAGTGTCAATAAAAGCTTTTATTGGACTAACAAGGACGTTTTCAGTTCTGAAACTTACAGGATATTCTTATAATATGATGACCTCTTAGATGTCAAAAGCTCAAGGAAAATTTGATTTCTCAGTTCATCACCCCTGTAATGTAAATCAAACAAAAAAAAAAAAGACAAGAAAATCACTCATGTCCGAATACCTTTTGTAACTGATTAATTTTTTATTTAATGTATGCAGTGAAGATTATTTGCAGTGTTATTTTACATTTGAATTCTTAATAAAAGTTCTCCCAAAACCTATATATATATATATTTTTTTTTGCCATTATTTATTCGTCTCGTGTTGTTGCAGACCCAAATACATTTTTAAGAATCTCCACACAGCAAATTCAAACCACATAAAAGTAGTCTCTGGGGTCTCTGACTCTCGGACTCTGAAGTCTCCTTTGTTTGAGGAACATAAAGAAAGTTAGCTGAAAAAACTTTACCTTCCCTGAGGC